TTTTAAGATATATCAGTGCAAGTTTCTTTCAGTCAAAACAGCTCAAACATGCATTTTAGTCTCGGACTTAAGCCTTGTCTGTGAAATTGGCCAAAGAAGTTTACCTGGCATTAGGCAAGAGGCTTTTGCCCTCAGCATTAAGATTTGGAAGTTGGACAGAGCAGTGCATGGAGTTCCTCCTTTTGTTTGTAATAGATTGAGTGCTTATCACAGGACATCCCGGTCTCTCGGCAGTTTTATTTCAGGATGACCCATATTTGGGTAACATAAGGAATATGCAAAAGAAATATGCTTTGAAAATATTCTAATAATGGTCTGGAGGTTCTTTCCTCTGTGGTGACAGATACTTTTTTCTTACCGCTGTCCAAAAGTTTTAATGTGTGTATGGATTCACAAAATTCAAGGCACATATTGTGCAATGTTGGTACTTGAAAATAGATAATATAGCGCCATATAGTTGCAGTATATAATGCATGCTCAACTGTAAGAATGAACCGATGGCCCGGGAACAGCCCTGAACATTGTTGTTGAATTCCATTGATTTAATCTAGCCGATTAACATAGATAAGAAAATTTAGTTGAAATTGCAAAAATAGCTTACAATGGGTTCAAAAGCTTTTAACAGATCATGTCATTGTGTGAATGGAGTGTGTATATGAATTCATAGCTTTTGGTTACATTATATCTGTCAAATTTACTACAAATCATTACTACAAATCAAAGTCTTAGCAATACTTTGTTTTTACAAAGTAAATGTTAAATGAATATATATTAACTAAATAAGTTTGAGGTCGCTAAGATACTGTTTTAATGTATTTGAAAGAAGTTTCTATAGCTTACTGCATTTATATGATAAAAAATACAATATAAACAGTAATATTGTAAAATGTTGTTCCAATTTAAAATAAACATTTTATATTTAATGTAATTTATTTGATATTTAATGTAATTTATTTGATATTTTTCTGAAAACCATGCATGATACATTTTTCAGGATACTTTGATGAATAGAAATGTAAAAAAAAAAAAATTTAAAATAACAAATTTTTTGTAATAATATATAGTATAATTATTGCATTATATATAGACCAATTTCCAGCCGACGTCACAGTTACGTCACGGCGCTAGCTGGTGGCAGAACAAAGGGAAAACTGGAGGCGGCAAATACAAACCAGCACAGATTCGGCTACAAAATAAGGATCTTAAATTATTCTTCTTATTATTAAATGTCATCTTGTTGTGTTGTTGGGTGCAAGAATCAATGAAAAATGAATATGCTTTATCTGCATTTTTTTTATTTCTAGAAAATATTCACCTCATTAAAATTGCACCGTAATGTCACTCTTTACATTGTCGTCTTCATCGCGCTGGCTCGGCAGAACTGCGGATCGTACCACACAAGTCTTGTACTTGACCATTCAGCACATAGTTATAGGCATCTAAAAATGTATGTGCCCTCTGTTTCTCTATCAGGTAGGTTTAGAAGTCAGGCCACTCAACCGGAGGTAGCGTTAACGATAATACTGTCAGATCCTCAATCAATGAGTGTAAGGGTCGGCCAATCTGGTTCCGTCCGTTAAAATTAACTTTTGCAAAAAACAATCGTGGTCCTGGACAGTGAGCGACCTTGCACATTAAGATAAAATCGGATTTTCTCCAGCCATTGTTAAAAACAAGCTAACAAAACTTGCAGACTTTACGTTAGTGAAGCGGCCAGAGGGATCGTTCTGCCACCACCTAAGCTCCGCCCACAGAAAAACGTCACCATGTTTACCAACTGAAAATTGGTCTATAGTATCATTTCAAAATCATAGTCACTTTTGATCAATAAAGCACCCTTGCTCAATAAAAATATTAATTTCATCAAAATAATAATAAAAAGCTTACCGACCCCAAACTTTTAAAGTATATATATTTACATATTATTTGACTAATAGAAAACATTTAGCATTGAAAATGTAAAATGTTGGCAGGGAAAGTACACATATCTGAACTACTGCCCTGATCAAACATATATTTCAAGTGTTAATAATTAGCCCGTTTAAAGTCAGCCAGAGAATAGACTTTTAGAGAGTTTAATATCACAGTTCATGTAGTGTATGCATGGGTTTCAGGCGAGCCTTACACAATTATGCTCTCAAAGATGCAGTTGTACATCTTTTTCGAGATTTATAAAGGCAACAGTCCAAGTTTTGTTAAGCAAGAACCTGTCATGTAAAAAAATACCCAGAGCCGTTTTCCAGTTCCCACCTTATATTCTTCCAATTATCCTGACCAGTTCAGAGGTGTAGTCAGGTGGTCAGCATTGAAGGGATTCCATGAGAAACAAGCTAAACAGGTGTGCTGATTGTTGCGTGTAATTACTCCGACTTTCTGGAGGCCATTGAGGGGAGGATCTGGATTTGCGTGAGTAATTGAAACCGACTCGTTGACATTTTGACTTAGGTGAAAAAGAGTTACGAAATGTTTGATAGTCATTGGCTCTAGCAGCAAACTTTGACCTGAGGTGCTGTGTAGCATCAAAGACCCTGCCAAGTTTTGATCATTTGAACCAGTGTGTGGGGATCTTTAGGGTCAGACATTGCATGAGAAGAGTGCAGGAACACCAGTTGAGATATTAACTCAATGTTTTGCTGGCACATACTTCCAAAATTCAGGGGTTTGTTGACACAGTGACTAAGTAATGGCATCTACGTGAAGACTGTAGATAGATCATTGTTCTCAATAGAAAAGAGTTTGCCTGGCACAAGAGTATCTTCTTGCCAGTGTTTTGGTATTGTGGAGTTATGTACAGTATAACATCTTGAATAATTGATGTTCCCAACAGATACATTTTCAAAACAATTAATTAGTTCATTACATGACTGCACAACGCATTTGTATTGATTTATTTTAATTTATTCAAAACTATATTTAAAATGCAATTGATTCCTACAATGGCTTTAAAACAGCTATTCTATGATGAGCATGGTTTCATTTTCAATTAAAATTAATATCTAAATTAATTGAAATGGAAACCATGCTTATCACACACTCACCGGCCACTTTATTAGGTACCCCATGCTAGTAACGGGTTGGACCCCCTTTTGCCTTCAGAACTGCCTCAATTCTTCGTGGCATAGATTCAACAAGGTGCTGGAAGCATTCCTCAGGGAGTTTGGTCCATATTGACATGATGGCATCACACAGTTGCCGCAGATTTGTCGGCTGCACATCCATGATGCGAATCTCCCGTTCCACCACATCCCAAAGATGCTCTATTGGGTTGAGATCTGGTGACTGTGGAGGCCATTTTAGTACAGTGAACTCATTGTCATGTTCAAGAAACCAATTTGAAATGATTAGAGCTTTGTGACATGGTGGAAGTAGCCATCAGAGGATGGGTACATGGTGGCCATAAAGGGATGGACATGGTCAGAAACAATGCTCAGGTAGGCCGTGGCATTTAAACGATGCCCAATTGGCACTAAGGGGCCTAAAGTGTGCCAGGAAAACATCCCCCACACCATTACACCACCACCACCAGCCTGCACAGTGGTAACAAGGCATGATGGTTCCATGTTCTCATTCTGTTTACGCCAAATTCTGACTCTAACATCTGAATGTCTCAACAGAAATCGAGACTCATCAGACCAGGCAACATTTTTCCAGTCTTCAACTGTTCAATTTTGGTGAGCTCTTGCAAATTGTAGCCTCTTTTTCCTATTTGTAGTGGAGATGAGTGGTACCCGGTGGAGTCTTCTGCTGTTGTAGCCCATCCGCCTCAAGGTTGTGCGTGTTGTGGCTTCACAAATGCTTTGCTGCATACCTCGGTTGTAACGAGTGGTTATTTCAGTCACTGTTGCCCTTCTATCAGCTCGAACCAGTCTGGCCATTCTCCTCTGACCTCTGGCATCAACAAGGCATTTCCGCCCACAGAACTGCCGCTCACTGGATGTTTTTTCTTTTTCGGACCATTCTCTGTAAACCCTAGAGATGGTTGTGCGTGAAAATCCCAGTAGATTAGCAGTTTCTGAAATACTCAGACCAGCCCTTCTGGCACCAACAATCATGCCACGTTCAAAGTCACTCAAATCACCTTTCTTCCCCATACTGATGCTCGGTTTGAACTGCAGGAGATTGTCTTGACCATGTCTACATGCCTAAATGCACTGAGTTGCCGCCATGTGATTGGCTGCTTAGAAATTAAGTGTTAACGAGCAGTTGGACAGGTGTACCTAATAAAGTGGCCGGTGAGTGTAGAATAGCTGTATTGAAGCCACTGTATGAATCAATTTCATTTTAAATATATTTTTGAACAAATTAAAATAAATCAATAGAAAATGCGTTGTGTCACTGTTACAGTCATGTAATTAACTAATTAATTGTTTTGAAAATGTATCTGTTGGGAAGATCAATTCTTCAAGATTTTATAATGTAAATAACATACGTTATTATGTTATTATTAAAAAGTTTTTCAAAATCATATAAAACCAATATGAATAGAGAACAATAGAACTTGGCACATGCTTTTTAAACTAGATTTTTTCTTTTCTTTAACATGGGCTCTCTTATTTGTTATTGACCCAATGTCTGTTTGTTAAGATACGTCTCATTGCCCTTGCATGTCATAAACCATTCTGTGAGTAAACCTTTCATGACTCATGTGTGCCAAGCACAAGTATTTTTCAACCATTACTGTGTATTGTTAAACCACTGGGCATTATGATTTGCTTTCACTTTTTGGTTGTTCAGATGCCAACAGCTCTGTGATATAAGTTGCCATTGTTATACATTTTTTCATGTTTCCCTCTCACTATCATTATTAATGCAGGGAATTCTTTCTAATGCATGAAGTTGTGCTGTTGTTTGATTATGCCTGATCAACTGCCCTCACATGACATTAAATATTGTGAAAGGTTACCCATAATTTTCTCATCATGTCTTTGTTGAAGAATTGGTATTATCTGTTTTATCTATTGTGCAGAGCTTCTTGCTTTAATGCTTGTTTGCTGTTGCAGTGACCCTGAACTCAAAGAACTCCAGCCAACTAGCAAATAACACTAAACCACAAATTCAGGAGCTTCCAGAGGGAGAACTTTTACTACAGGTGAATTCACTGCTGTGAAACATTAGTATTTTAATTCAAGCACATAGATCTAGACAAAAACACAAAAAAACTGATTTAGAATTCGATTTATTAGCTGCACAACTTAATCTACCTACGTTTTTTTATAGCTTATAAATGGCTTTGTGTTGGTGGTAACCTCCAGTGGCACAATCTTCTATGCTTCCTCCACCATTAAGGACTACTTGGGGTACCATCAGGTTCGTATTGGTTTGCATATGTATTGTGGGGGTGGAAGAAACTGAAACCCAAATAAAGGGTTTATTTGTAGGGGCTAAATTGGACCGAAATGATCTGGATTTACATTATAGCACCTTCTGTTTAAAAAAGAATAGGGCTGGGTTAAAAAAGTTTTTCGATTTTAATCAATTCTCATTTTGATCAACCAATATTAATCCTTAAATCCCAGAAATCAATCTTTTATTCTATGCTGTCTTCAGTTATCAGACTTTTGAAGCTTTCAAATTTTGTCAGTTATAATAAAATTCAAACAATAAATACCGTTTGGATGGCCTTGAATGTGGTGTGACAGGTCGCTGTAGCCGCCTCAGTTCAAACGGCATGTGAACCGGTCATCTCTTGAATAAATCTGTCATAAAAACAAGTTTAGGAAAGCCATCATTTAAATGTTTATATATATAAAAAACTGAATTGGAGTTGAAACTGGAGAAAACTGAGTTATTATAAAAATGGCCTTATGTTCAATTTAAATGTTTGTGTACAAATCAGTTGTTAATTTTAACAAGTGTATTTTTTTCCTTGAGATAAATTGACATGTACTGTACTTGATATTAATCGGTATCTGTCACAGTTGGGTTGAAAATAGAGATGAGTATAGGATCTAAATGCAGCAGTTTTACGTATATTTTACAAATAACTCAGGAACTAGGAAACAAGAACACATTCAAATTGATTAACATTGAATGGCATTTAATTGAATCGCAAGATTGTGAATCAAAATTTGTGTCAATGCCCATCCCAAGAACAAAAATACAAAAGAACAAACAAGAATATTGGCAATTTGTTTGTCAGTCCAGTTTGTTCAAATTTCACCAATCCAAGTTTTTGTTCGATCCACTGCACACATCCCTCATCAGTTTAGTGAATCTACTCACTCAAAAACATTTCAAGGTTCAATACATTAAACATTATTGACCTGATTTTATCCAAATTTAAGCCAGTTTTTCAGTTGTTGTTGTGAAACGCTACTGGAAAGAGATTTATGTCACCAGTCTTTTTAAATCCCTCATAGCAGCTTTCTAATTTATTGTGTGTGAAATTCCAGCTTCTTCCCACAAATGTGATTCTAAAAGCACTTCCTCACCGCAATCAGAAATCAAACTGTAAACAAATACCAACTTGAATTGGATTGTTTTGCCAGACAAAGCAGGCTGTGAACAAATTAGATAAAAACGGGTTGATTGCTAAGACATTTACCATTTTTTTTTCTTTTTTCTTCAGCATTTAGATTCAGATTTCTTCCTAAATTTGGTACCAGCTGTAATGAGTAGCTGTGAAACTACTTGCAGTAAAACCGATGTGTTTTGTTTGCAGTCGGATCTCATCCATCAGTGTGTGTACGAGCTCATTCACACTGAAGACCGGGTTAAGTTTCAGAAGCAGCTCCACTGGGCGCTCAACCCCAGCTGCACTCTAGACGCCGTACAGATAGTGCAAGGTAGAAAATAAGTTAACTAAACATCTCTCCAGACAGACCATGAGCAGACCTGAGCATTGTGCCTGGACAACTGAAACATTCTGTCCCCACTCCATCAACACAGAGTCAATGAAGATGGATTGCATTTGTCTGCAAACAAAGTTTGGCAAAGTTCCATTGTGACAGACATCCTAGTTAACAATCTTCATGAAATAAATCCTCGAATAACATGATTTTAAAACAATAAAAGCAATACCTTTCAATTAACTTCTTCACAATGGATCTGAAACGTTGTCATTATTCAGATGGCTAACATTTGGTTAAGGTATCCAAATGTTTTTGTTTTTTTCTTAGAATAACTAATAATGTGTTTGTTATGGACCATGTTTTTAACCAACAGCTCACTTGATACATACAGTATATGCTCTGAGGATTCAGGTTCATATGTGTCACCGCCTCTTATAGATGGTGTTCAAAGGCTGTGCCAGTTTGCTCTGGTTTCAAATTGGGCTTTTTATTCTCAACCAAGCTGGATCGGTTTGCATCAGATCTAACGTTGGCAATTTGGAAGGCCTGTCATTGTTATACACATGACAGCTGTGTCAGACAACACACACACACACACACACACAGACACACACACACACACACACACACACACACACACACACACACACACACACACACACACACACACACACACACACACACACACACACACACACACACACACACACACACACACACACACACACACACACACACACACACACACACACACACACACAGCACATCCAGCTGTCAGCAATGACACTACCTACAATGAGTTATATAAACACTTACACTGCCACCAATGCATTATTATCCTTTTCTATGTTATATAATCTTAGAGAGTTTTGTATTTAAGTATGCTTTTCTCTTTTCTCTATAACCAAGTTTAAATGCACTTGCTTTGCTTTTGTCAGATTCCCATGATTCACCACTGCTTCAGACACACTACAGTCCAGAGGAGTTGCCGCCAGAGAACTCCACCTTTCTGGAACGAAGTTTTGTTTGCCGGTTAAGATGTCTCTTGGACAACTCATCTGGCTTTCTTGTAAGTTGAAATAATAATGAATAAAAAACTATTATATTAGGTGTCTTTAACTACTATGTATTTACATTTAAAAAAATAATTGTTAGGTACAATGTACTTATTGTGTTCATGTTGTATTGGGTTCATGTTGTATTTTTTGCTGCTATTGAGGTGGGATACGGGTAAGGTTAGAGAAAGGTTTAGGGTAGGTTTAAGGTGTTAGGGAAGGGTCATGTATGCACATGTAAAAACATGTATACAGTCAGTGCATTGTATCAAATGATTAATTAAAATTTTAGTACATAGCAGTTAAAATCACCCAGAACCAGAAATGATTAATTAAGACAAGAGTCAGAATTATAATAAATGAAAGAAAAGTTTTACTGAAGATAGTTTGCAGTTTCATCAGCAGAAGTCAGCTTCAAGACTCACAAGGTGATAATTCGGATGTACATCACAATATGGACGAAATAGATCTGTCGCTATTTCCATTACATCACATAGCTCAAATGACAATTCTCAAAAAAATGCATCATCTCTTCATATTGGTTTCAAAGAGGGGTTGGGGAAAATTAGCTGAATGCTGTGGAATGTATTAACATATGGTCGAATGTGTTAAATAGATGGCTTGTACTTTTATAGGCCATGAACTTTCAGGGGCGTTTGAAGTTCCTGCATGGGCAGAATGAGAGGACAGCAGATGGCAAACCCATCCCTCCTCAGCTGGCCCTGTTTGCCCTGGTCAGCCCTCTGCAGCCGCCTTACATACTGGAGATCCACACCAAGAGCTTCATGTTTAAAACCAAGCATAAACTGGATTTCACGCCCACCGCATGTGACCCAAAGTAAGACATATTAGCTCCTATCAAGTGTGAAAAAGCTTGTGGATTTATTCTCTGTTCACTTCAGTTTGTTTCAGTTGACTTGTAGTGGCAAGTTTTAAAAATTACATACAGTACCACTTAAAAAAATATTTATTTTTGTTGTAAACAATAATTGACCCTTAATTTGGTGCTCTTATACCATCAGTATCTCTCACTTTCAAAGCCATGTTTTTTTTTCCCCTCCTCCACAGAGGAAAGATTGTTCTGGGCTACACAGAGGCAGAACTGTTTTACCGCGGCTCAGGCTATCAGTTCATCCATGCAGCAGACATGCTGTATTGTGCCGAGAACCACATGCGGGGTAAGCCTCCTTTTATCACAAATGGATAAAGAAAACACACTCACCTCACTCACGCTGTGGAGATCTAACTGGTGTTGAAATAGTTGTATTGCTTTCTAAAAGAATAGTTCACTCAAAAAATAAAAATAAAAAATCCCATAAGGCCAACCAAAATTCAACCAAAATTTCCACAAAAGTACAAAAAGACATCGTAATCCACATGAATTGCGGTTTAATCCAAGTCTTCTGAAGAGACACGATCACTTTATATTATGAACAGATTTAATTTAGGCTTCTATTCACATATAAGCATTGATCAGCGCACATACGTAGATAGAGCACAACAAATATGGCAAATAGAAGCTCAAATGTGTTTGTTTGACGTGCAAGAACCAATGACAAATCTACATATACCATATACATAAATCTGAAATTAATCTTTTAAAAGGGGACTGCTAAAAGCATATTTTTTTATTATTATTAATGGTAGCAACATAGTTGCTGGTTATTTAAATTAATTAATAATTTCTCTCCCCTGCAGCGATCAGGACGGGTGAAAGCGGGTTAACTGTTTTCAGACTGTTGACTAAACAGAACCTCTGGATTTGGGTACAGTCCAACGCTAGACTTGTCTACAAAAACGGGCAACCAGATTACATCATTGCCTCTCAGAGAGTCATCACGTATGCCTTTATTTGTGTCTTTGTGAAGTTGTCTCTTTTTGATATTGAATATTCTGTATATGTTTTCCTATGTTGTTTTATTATTAAGCAGTATTCATAGCAAAAGGTAACCGCAGATAATTTAATCGTAGTTGTAATAATTGTAGATAAAACTGTATCAATAACAGTAGTCAACCCTGTAGTCAATAATTGTATCCCTAAAAAAAATATCCACGCCTTAAAATAGCTTGAATGTAGCTCTACACCCGTGCTTCATTTTGCATGCACGGTTCTTTGAAAATGCAAATGAGCCCCGCCTCCACTCACTCACACCACCAGCTCAGAGATCCACTCATTGATGATCACACATTGACGTGATTGGTTACAAGTTAGTTTGTGACATCAGAAACACCAGCGATTTCAAACTGCGTTTTTGAGACTGTCTTTGGTTCACTACAGTTTTAAGGAGAAAATACTCAACAATGGTGTCTTATGCTGACTTATGACTTTTCACATGTTTTGTCTTAAAGCATATTAAAAACACCACATAGACATATAAACAACATTAATAGCTTAATACATTTTTAGTTATTAATCTTATTATGACCGATTCATCCATGCATTTTTTTTATCCATAATTTTTAGTCGTGATGAAATAGAAGTAGCAACAGATTTTTTCTTCTGTATTGGGGGATGTGTATCTATAGTCAGCAAAGTGGCAAAACAGAAACCTAAACCCTACGCTTACTTTTGCTGTGTTACAAGCACTTTTATTTCTTTCAGATCTAGTATTAATATTGTTATTTGGTAATTGCATTTAATATCGTTTCTGTAAGTGTCTTGCTTGAGAATGAGTCATTCTGTCTTCTGTAGGGATGAGGAGGGCGAGGAGAACCTGAGAAAGCGTGCTATGATGCTTCCCTTCAGCTTTACTACTGGAGAGGCTGTTCTCTATGACATGAACCTGCCCAGATCTCTGGGTAACACCACACCTTCTGATCCCACTGCTCAAGACAACAATAACCAACTCGGAACCACTGGAACTGTAGACCCTGACTCCCTGCTGGGCTCCATGCTGAAGCAGGACGAGTCAATATATGTGTGTTCTGCAGATAAGCGCTCAGTGTCGGTACAGGGATTAGGGAATGAGGATCTTGGTGGGATCTTTTCCAGTAACTGGCAAGAAAATGTTCTTTCACTCTCTGAAAGCTCTGTGTTCAAACAAGAACCAATCGTTGGCTCTGGAGGAGATGACAACTGTGAGATACTGGACTTCATGCAGAGTTTAGGTATCAGCCCAGAAGATCTGAAGTCCCTACAACAAGACGAACTGTTCCTCAGGATTGACCTTGATGGTCGAAATGACGTGGCAGACCTCACAGATGGCATCTTGTCCTATGTGCAACAGTCTCTCGGGACGAAGACGGACAGTATAGGTGATGTCCAGGACGATGTGAAGGAGAAGTGTCTTGTCGGGAAGCCTACTCAGACCTTCACACCTCCACAGCAAGCTCCTGTGTTAATCCCAGAAGATTCATGTGATCCTCTCACATTAGTTCCTCAGGAACAACAGAAGACACAACACTTCACACGGATACAACCTCAAACGGAACTGAAGGCTGCTGCAGATCTCCAAAACAATCCTCAAGGACAGCAACACTCAATGTCTCACTTAAACAAAGAGACTGGAATCTCACAATGCAAACTTTCACACATTGCAATCCAAAAACACCAGGTTCAGACGACGAGTCAACAGTCACAGTGCTCACACCTTCCACCGCTGGATCAGCAGGTGTGTAAAACACTCAAAAATGCTCAGGTTTGTGGGAACCTCACTGAAGTTCAAGCCAGTGACACACAGCAGGTTCCTCCCCTCCTCCAGCCAGAGCTCCAGCAGCCTGGATGCTTTTACCTGGAGACACCTCATGTGGATCTGAAACACCCTTACAGAAACCATCTAAGCACTGTGTCAATCAGCTACTCCCAGCAGCTCTCTTCACCTTATATCACTGCTGGTGACGCAGGCTTAAGCGAGTTCACGGCTCAGGATATCGAGGAGCTGCTCAATGGCCTAGATGGTGATATGGAGAGGAAGAGGTACTCAGGACAGCACGAAGGACTAGGTTTCCGACCAAGCCTGGATCAACAAGCTTACATAGGCCAGGTTAGAACCAAACCACTCGTGTGGTTTACCTACCTTCTCTCTTAAAAATTCTATGGTTCCATAAGGAAACTTTTACATCCATGGATCCTTTCAATTGCACAAAAGGTTCTTTATAATGGACTTTAATTTTTGCATAATACATTGCAGCATCACCCTTTTTCTCACAATGCCTGAAACGGTTTGATGAAGGATTTGGTTTCTGTAAACCCTTCCTTTCCGAGAGCCTACTCTGCTCTAATTTGGTCAGATGGCCTAGACTGTTGTGATTGGTCTACTACTCACAGCGTGTGTTCAGAAACGAAACATTCATTACCATATCTGAATTCCACTGTATGGTACTTTACTGAATTATACTTTACTGTATAAGTAAAATCACTGTAAATATTGATAACTGATAATTCAGTCACAAATCTGGCAGATTTAGTGAGGGACTGATTGTGAGGCCTGTAAAATCGGTACTGGAAAAGATTGACTTTGGGATTTTAGAATTGACATTAAGATAATTAATCATACTAAAATCATCTCTCTAATCAGTTTCAGAATGGAGGCCACACAAACTATACAATGGAGAGTAACACGGCACATCTCGCACAACATTTCGGCCAGCGGCAGAACTAGAACAGACCCCATCCAAACCTGTCTTTTGGAGGATACTTGCTTACAATCATGAAAAATAATAATAATAAAAAAGGTGGAGCTTTGTTCCTGTTTATTAGAGGTCACCATGCTCTGAGCTGTGATGATCATTGGCTGTTTAGATATGGCAGGTGTGGTCATACGAACCCATAATGCCTAGGCCAGAAAAGATCACCATTAGAATGCAGGATGAGGGGGAAGAAGCAGAAATTGGGGTGAAAGGCTGAAAATGGACAAAGAAAGGCACAACTGTCTTGTGGCTCAGCATGAAGTCTAAGATGAATGAAGAACCAGCGCGCTTGGATCAGCTAGATATAAGAATCTGTGGCTTCCCTGTTAAATGAACAGTGCTGTCACTGTGCTTTGATAAATGTCTCTTTAAATGTCTCTCATGAGATGTTGCAAATCTATTGGCCTGTCAAAAATGTGTCCTAAAGCAATATATATATACAGTGTGGACCAACTCCAGATGCCAAACAAGCCTTGGTTTTTCAAATATGTATTGACGTTTATAATATCTAATTTCCAGTTCTTTACATGCTTGCTGCTTGTTTTCTCTTTAGATTAAAGTCAAAAGACAAATATTGTACAGTATATGATTTATTTGGGTGATTTACTCTACATTGACTTCGTGTCAGGGATATTTTCAATTAAGCTGAGAATTTTTCAACATTTTTGTTGGTATGTTTCTTTTTTGAATAATTAAATTCATTAAATGGAAGATATTTCCATATTAAAAAAACTTTTAGAGAGAGATTTTAAGTGTTTTGTAATGTTCTGGAGTATTGATGGGTACTCAGGGTACCTCTCTGGACTACCATTTGTATTGTAATTTATCTTTTTTTTAATCATTTATTCTTTGGGGAAAGCTGTTAAAGATAATCAGACATGTGGAGCACTTATGAATAGAATAATTCAGCTCCTTAACTTCACAGGAGACATAAACATTGACCAAACTGTAAATCAAGCAATGTTTATTTTTCTGCAGGAATGTTGTATCAATAAAGCACTATTGTTAAACGATTAAGCAAGATAATATGACAGATGAGATGACCAAAGCAGTTTCTTAATGCTTCTGAAAAAATTGGGTTGAGATGGATTTCTTTTAATGTTTTTGAAAGATGTATCTTGTGCTCACCAAGGCTGCATTTATTTGATACAAAATACAATAAAAACAGTAGTATTGTAAAATGCTTTTTCAATATATTTTCAAATGTAACATTCCTGTGATGGTAAAGTTAGATGTCTGTGGATCTGTTTTTTCTAAAGTTGAGGAGTCCTACAATCCTTTTAAGTTTGTTCAACTTCAATCTACACCGTTGAGCCAAAACATTATGTCCACCCGCCTAAACAGCGTCGACCCACCGAGCCATGGACTCTATAGGACCCTGAAGGTGTCCTGTGGTATCTGGCACCAACACGTTACCAGCAGATCCTTCAAGTCCTGTAGCTTATGAGGTGGAGCCACGGATTGAATTTGTTGGTCCAGCATATCCCACAGATGCTCAACTGAATTGAAATTGGGGAATTTGGAGGCCAGGGCAACACCTTGAACTCTTAATCTTGTTCCTCAAACCATTCCTGAACAATGTTATGTGTGCAGTGTGGCAGGGTGCATTATCCTGTTGAAAGAGGCCACTTCCACCATGGGAACACCATTGTCATGAAGGGGTGTACTTGGTCTGCAATAATGTTTAGGTAGGTGACATGTGTCAAATCTACACCCACATGAATGGCCAGGGTTGCCCAGCAGAACAGTGCCCATAGCATAAAACTCCCTCCACTGACTTGTCATCGTCCCACAGTGCATCCTGATGCCATCACTTCCCCAGGTAAATGGCCAACATGTACAGGGCGGTCCACGTAATGCAAAAGAAAACGTGACTCATCGGACCAGGAAACCTTCCTCTGCTTTAAGGTCCAGTTATGAAACTCTGCCCATTGAAGGGGCTTTTAGACAGTGGCTTTAGACTGTCTGTTGTGACACATTCCTCCCAAAGCCATCATTAAAATTTTGTGTGACTTGTGCCACAGTAGACCTTCTGGTGGCTCGAACCAGACGGGATAGCCATCGTTGCCCTTGTGCAGATTAGCCTTGGGTGTCCAACACCCTATCACCGGTTTGTGGTTTGTCCCTCCTCGGACTGCTGTTGGTAAAATACTCACCACTGCTGACCGGACCGGGAGCAACCCATTTCAGAGATACTCTGACAGTTTGTTTGCAATTACAATTTGGCCTTTGTCAAAGTCACTCAGATCTTTATTCCTGCCCATTTTTCCTGCTTCCAACACGTTACAAGAATTATAAGAGCTGATTGTTTGCTTACCATCTCATCTCTTAATATCTGGCCTTGTTAGGAGATGATCAATGATATTCCCTTTACCTGTGAGTGTGACTGGTCACAATGCTTTAGCTCATTAGTGTAAATGGATATATATAAAAATATATTTACTGGAGATATTCACCACTATTCACTAGACCACAATCAAATGAAATAACAGCTTGAACTCAGAACTTGTAAATGAATGGATTCCTTCTACTCATTTAGAGCAACACGGGTAACACGTTCTGAAAGAACACTAAAAGTTCATCGTCCTTCTCTAATGAACAGATCAATAAAGCTTTTACAAAGCATGTGTAGCTGATCGAGTATGAATGTGGCATCCTGGTGGGATTTTGCGATACATGAATTATGACTATTTCATCATTTTTAAGATGTTTGAAACATTTCCTGTATTTGAGTACCTCTCCCGTTGTTTTTCTCTTCTTTGATTGTGTAATACCGCCCTCTGTTGTTTGCAACAGCATTGGCAACTTTGTGATTTGGTTGGTGATTAATGAAAATTAAAATGATAATAAAAATGTTTTACATTTTATTTTTCTTTAAAACCAATTATATTTATATTGACATATAATAGAATATATATTCCATATAAATACTTATTATACATAATAATGCTTATTTTAATGCCTTTCTATATTACATTAAATACATGTTTATATTAAATGAAAATCTAAAGTCTATTTGTAGTGTATACAAACTGTAATATATCATGTAATAATGTAATGTGTGTGTATATATGACAGAATATTCCATAGAAATGCTTATTATACATAAAATGCTTATATATCTGAGGAATGTTTGCAGCACCTTTGTGCAGCACAAAGAATTAAGGCAAAATGGGGTCCAAACCCGGTACTAGCAAAGTGTACCTAATAAAGTTTTTTCTTTTTAATGTTTATATGGATGAGTTATCAAAATTGCTAAACAGCTGTGGAACTGGTTGTATGGTTGGTAATACTATCATCAACCACTTAATGTACGCAGATGATTTGGTTATCTTCTGTCCATATAGTGCTGGCCTTCAACAGTTACTGAGGGTCTGTTCTCAATATGGCTCAGATTTTGACATTAAATACAATGCAAAGAAGAGTAATGTTATGATTGTCAGGAGTAGGGAGGACAGGAAACTATTATTTCCTGTATTTTCTCTGTCTGGTATTGACCTTATGGTATGCGATGAGGCTAAATATTTGGGACACTATATAACTGAGGACCTGTCTGATGATAGGGATATTTATAGACAGTGTCGTATGATATATGCACAGGCGAATACGTTGATTCGCAAATTTTGTATGTGCTCTGGATCTGTAAAGATTGCACTTTTTAGAGCATATTGCACCCCGATGTATACTGCCCATTTGTGGCGGCGCTACAGAAAGAGCAGCATGCAGAAACTCAATGTAGCATATAATGACGGAAAGAGGCTGTTGCTTGGGGTGCCGCGATGGAGTAGTGCAAGTCAATTGTTTGTCAGTGTTGGCGTGCCCACCTGTTCTGCTGTTCTGCGCAATCTCATGTACAGATGTATGTGTAGGTTGTTAGACTCTGCAAACAGCATAATTTCAACATTGACAAACCCGACCCTAAGTTCAGTCAGGTTCTCCTCTGGTATGTGGAACCATTGGCGTTTTAGCCTATATGTAAACCTGTGATATTTTTTTTTTTTTTTTTTTTTTTTTTTTTTTTTTTTTTTTGTCTGTTACTGTGTGTGATTGGACCATGTGTGTCCTTAATAAAGTTTTGATGATGATGATGAAAGTGGCCGTATTTATTTTGTCAGATGGGGTGATGTTTAGTTTTACAGCTAATAGTGTCATAGCTTCTGGGGCAAACCCACTCATAGCAGGATAATCCCAATGGATTGGGCTCCATAAGCCCCATGAAACCCCACTAACACCAGTAGGAATTTGCCTTCGCCATGGCTGAATGTTCCCACAAATTGAATTAGTAGACTGTCAGTGAAGGGAGAGCACAAGGCAGGTCAAGCCCACTCTGCCCCATGCTCTGCCACTGTATTCCAGTCCTGTCTGAGACCTGCTGACCTTTGAACTTACACTTCCTGTGAGGTTTATGGTTCATTGTGGCAATGAACATATGTGATCATCATCACCGTCTTTCTCTGTCTAAAACAAAAGGGTCTCACTTTGACTATGTACAACATTCAAAGGGTGAAGAAGCTCAAAAATAATTTGCATACGTAATTATAATACTTACATTTGTGTTAGTTTTTCATTTTAGAATTTTACTATCGCTTTAAATTTTGAAAATAGTAATAAATAATTAATAGGTGTGCCCGAATGGAGCAATGTGAGAAAAAAAAGTATCCTGTTGTTTTTACTGAAAAAAACTGGCAGCTGTGGTTGCCAAAATAATACTGTAAAAATACAGTGACAACAAATGTAAACATATTTACAGAACAACCTGTAACACACACATACAAAATATAACACACATGACAAAATAACGCACATTAATTTAACAACAGGTTGTACCATAAAACCCTAATGTACCTGATAACGAAACATGAAATACCGTCAAATGTGAAGTGTCACACAGGGAATTCTGGGAATATCCGTTTAAATTTTTTCACTCTAGATTTGTTTTGTTTTTTACTTCTAAAAATGTTTTTTTTTAGCCTTTTAAAGGTAAAATTACAATAATTTTTACAATCAATATGTGCACAATAAAAACAGCTGTAAATGTATCAATTGTG